TTCCCATTCCTTTTCCATTCCTTTACCTTCACAATGCCACTCTGATTTTTGGATTCATACGCCTGTAAGGTAAGAGCAGGTTGCTACGGACTCACCGCTACCCTCCTGTGCAAGGCTAAACCATGCCCCCCTCTGAGCATGGAGTGCTTGCAGATATAAACTCCCCTCACAGGGGCAGGGGGCACAAGGACAAAGCCCATTGTGTTTTCTCTTTCCATCTAAACCACTAACAAAAAGAGCACTAGTAGAGGAAAAGTTCTTTCCTAAACGGAATATTTAACCAAACTGTACTCTTCTTCATCCAAGCCATACATGTGATTTTCTATAAGTTACCCTGTGACCCTTAACCTTTTGGACCCTCAGATTTCTTCTACATTAGAGGGGAGTTTGGACTAGATAATCTCAAAAGTTATTTTTAAATCTAAATTTCTTTAACTATGTATCTTATACAGTAATCTTCATAACGTTCAGTCTCACTGATGTCATCCAATTACATTTCCTTGGGAAGTCAGTGGGAGTGCCTATTTCAGAAGAGATTCACAGAGACGAAGCTCTACTTGAGATGTTTCCGGAAGTAAAATAACTTGAAAAGGTCATCATTTCACCAGTAACCAAGCAAACTCTTCCTGGGATCTCCTCATAGTAGTAAAACAAGTGAATAAAAATAAATGTCTTTCTGTCGGGTGAATATGCAAATGACTTGGGAGGCAGCAACCCTACAGACCAGTTCATTTTTACTAAGAGAACACTCAACTGGTAGACACCACCATTTGTCTGAAAAGAAAAGAAGAACTGTAGGATATCTGGAGACCTACTACACTTTTTTGGGGGAGTAGGGGGAGGTTGAAAGGGGACAAATGTAACATTCAGGATTAGCACTATATTATAAGATATAGTCTTCAAAATATTTTTGTTGGCCTATTTTGCAACCAAGGCTTGATTGCCTCCTCATGATTAAGGAATTCTGCTCTGTGCAACGAACATTTTTCTATTTACTTAATGTGCTCAACTTTCCATAAACAGCTGGTATGTGGCTCAGTTATCACTGAGCCTTTTCAGCATTTACAGAGCCAATAGCTGCTCTCAAAATATAATCTAAAGAAAAATAAGGTTCTGGCCCACAATATTGATGGATCTCTTCGTTGACAATTCACTCTCAAATCGCAGACCCTTAGGCCCAAATGGCAAGAAAGTCGGACTCACCATACATGATCTCCTGCTATTCTGTGGGCAGTATCAGTGCCCACCCCTGACAGAGCTATCATTCATCTGCAGTGAAATGAGAAAAATAGAAATAACATAAGTTTTTAAAAAGCTAAATCTAATCAATTTATGGGTCCAAGCTTCATTCTGAGAGCATAGCTTCTTACATTTGGCTGTTAAAGATCCTCTCTTTATAAAATGATGGGGACAGCAGAGAGTTAGTAATGTTCTTGTTTGGAAAAATTAAAACTTGGCTACGCTGTTGGTCTCCTCATCACTTACATTTTTTTAATTTTATTGACCCAGCATAAAAGCTAAATGCCTAGGAAGTACTCTGCCTGGAATTATGAAACTGGGTATTCATGTGTAAAGATTTATCACAATTTACCAAGAATTACACAGACCACAGAGTTAGGCTACTTTGAAGGAGCAAAGATGGCAGTGTCCACAGACAAATCACAAAAAGAGAATATATAGCCTGAAAGTAGAACATGGACCTATGAGCCTAAATAAAAGGCTCAGATTTGTAACAAAAATTAATGTGAATGGATTAAACAATTCCAGTGGAATGGTGGGTACACAGAGTATACCAGTGCTAGCAAAATGGTAAAAAATTCATATAGCATTAAAGTTGGACTTCACAAGCTACCTAATGATGTCCAAAGAAAATAAGAAGATTCTACAGCTACCAGAAGAAAAAACATACAAGCATTAATGTTAATAGACCTCAAACTTGTTTTAAATCAACAATCTTCTCCTCATGTTAATGCTCTGATTGAATGTCACAATGCAAAATCCCCACACATTAAGTCAAAGAATTCCAGCTTGCAAACATGAGCCAGACATTTGTAAGAATGTATTAATATATGTATGGCCATTATGTTTTGGGGTAACAGGAAGAAAAATGAAGCACAATTATTTTCTCTGTTACAGCACCGTTCTGTAAGCATAAACCTGGAGCATTCGTAACAGAATTCAGGTCTACAAGATCAAAGTGTGGTGAGCGTCACATGGCTGTGGAAGCATGTGTGCTTCTAAAAACTAAAAATCCCAGGAAGAAAAAACACAAAGGCGTGCTTTATCCACTTTGCTCAGTGAAAGCACCGCAGTTTAAATTGTTTAAAATCATAAACTGTGTCGAAACAGTGTTGGTATTGACTACTAGTAGTATCAGAAATATATTCAGGGTTGTTATAATTTTAAAAAGGTGAGAGAAGTTGATGAATTTTTGTTAAAAGCTGATCCTGTGTGTTACATGTAACAGAAATGGTAAATATTTATTTATTAATGTTTGTTTCACAAACCATCCACTTAATTTTAAGAGAAATCAACAAAAGGAATTAGGTGTCTGGACATGTAATTTTGAGATTACAGTTAGTCTTAAAATGTAAACAAAATATGTGCTCAGAAAAAAAAAAAAAAAAAAAACAGCATTTACCCAAAAGGGTACCTGGTCTTACTCTCTACTGCCTTGCTGGACATGCCCCTGTGTCTGAGGTGGCCCCTGGTGGCAGTTCCCAACTCTGCACTAGCCAACTCATTTCCACTCCCAGAATGTTCTTCCACACAGAGACCCTCTCTCCTCTCTTTCACCACATTGCAAGAGCCCTCTCATCCTCAAAACCCTGCTCAGTATTCACAGTCTCCATAAAAAATAAAAAATAAAAAAATCCTGGGTTTCAGAGCTCTCTAATTCTGCACACCCATAGCATTTATGAGCCATAGCATTTATGAGCCCATAGCATTTATGAGGATAATCTGGGATAAGAAAGAATATAAATATTATTCATCACCTATCATCACCTTTTGGAAAAAAAATAGTCAGCAATTCCATTATCCTAAATATAAATATTTCTGCAGAAACAAAGCTTCACTACCAGAATTTAATCTTCACTCAAAATAAACCATTACCTGTGCTTAATGGACCAGAGCAGTTAAAAGACCACCAAGTAGCCAGACCAGGCTGGACATTTGGTCCAGAAATACTATCTGACTGCAGAGCAAAGAGCACAGATCCCTGAATCCCTGACCTGATTAAACCTTCCAAGGCTGTCAATTCTGTGAGTCGCAAGCAAAGCCATGGAATTCCCATCCAGAGTTCTTGCCTACACGACTATGCCCAGCTCTCCCTAAAACTCTGGATTACTAGCATCTGTCTTTGAGGACTGATTGAGATGAAATGATGAAACAGCCTTTCAGACCCCAAGAAGAGGGCAGGTTGGAGGCCTTGACCAACCAGGCTGGTCCTGCCCCTCACTTCGCCCCCCCACCGTCCACCAGGGTTCATTGTTTTTCATTCTTTTGTGTCCTGTCTCCTCTCTGATGCAGTCTGGTGTGAACTTTTCTTTCTCAGGCTGGCTGAGGATGGGGCAGAAGTCAGAGGTGACACAGAATTGTCATGAGACAGGAGAAAAGAACGGATACACACAGGCATCAAAAAAATGCTGCTCGAAAGGTCCCAAATGAAGGCCTTCCCAACAAGGCCTTTAAGAAGCTGCCTCTTCTTACTGTCCTCACCATCCCACGCCTCATACGCTCTTCAACATACCACAATTTTGTGTTTTCCTCTCTAGCCTTAAAATTGGTAACATCTTACACTTTTAAGGACTGGGTCTTTTTGAGAGAGAGGGATCTCCTGAACTTCCAAAGAGATTTTTTTTTAATTATAATTAAAGTAATGCTGAGAAGCACTTCAACTTAATCCTCCAAAGTACATGTATCACTTACATAAAATTAAACAGTAGTGATTTCCAGGCATTGAGGTGGTGCAGGATGTGGTATCTGGCCATGAGCAATTCTATATTTAATATTAAGCATATGTGCAGTTGGGAATGATGGAGAAAGAACACTGGCATCCAGCAGCCCCCAAAATATACTCTTTCCTACCAACAAAGGGCTATTTCCTGGGGTGAACTGAGGTTCCTTGCGGAAAGAAACACCAACAAGGCCTGGAGCAACAGGGACATCCCTGCAATTTCACCAACATGGACTGCTAGTCCACGACGTGCCTGGCAGTGGGCTAAATCTTGGGCATGAAAAGATGGGTGGAGGGGAGCCCCTGTCTTCAGGAGCCCACAGTCAGTGAGAAAGACACATTGGACGCTAAATGTTACAGTCCATGGGGCCAAAGCCACAGCAGTGACCTAACGAGTATACTGGGAGCACTGAGAGGGACAAACAAATTCTGCCTAGGGAAGGAACTCCGAAAAAGTCCCATAGCAGACATCATACTTCAACTGGATATTAAAGAAGGAGCAGAGATAACGAAAAAGATAAGTGGCGAGAGGAATTCTTCATACAAAAGAATCACTCTAAAAATCTCTCTTTTTCCCTCATCCTTTCTCCCTCCCTCCCCCTAATGGCATAAGGTGAAAAAAAAAAAACAACCTACCAATTTTAAACTAGCTAAACTAGACTTTTAATTACTGTGGAGGTTTTTCCAACAGTTATTTGTTTTCGGCTCATCACCTATTCATAACACCTACAAAAGGCACCTACTGAATTTGCAGAGGCAACAGAATTTCTACAATAATAATAATAACACTAGGATGAAACTTAATACTGTAGATTACCTTTTTGGCCGAGTGCTCAAGCACACACTTCAAGCCCATTAAAGTAGATGGGAAGCATCACTGGCTGCCCCAGGCTTACCCTGCATTAAGCACTTGCTTATTTTAGTATAAATTGATAAAAATTCAAGAGCTATGCATCTACTTTTAAACTAAATCATTTTCAGTAAATCACTGAACACTATATTTGAACAACGAGATTTTTACAAGATGATTTGTTATTCTTACCTCCATGGGAAAAGCTTTGAAATTAACCGTGTGCTCAGAACCACGCTGGTTTTCTCTTCCCCAATGAAATCTAACTTCATACAGTTCAAACTCATGCCCTTGAGGCAATGGTCCTCCCGATAGAACTGAAAAAGAAAAACCTTATTGAATTATATCACAAATTTATTAGAACATTATAAACATTAGAGCCTTTTTTCAGGCTAAAAACCTCTCATGAGCTCTATAAATTAAATTCACAAAGCCAAAATAAGAAATATATCATGACTGTAAGATAAATGTCAACTATCTGAGATTGGCTGAAATCCTTCTACTGGCCATTCAGATACAGCAGAAATTTAAAAACTGAAAAATCTGATGATGATATGTACATTTTAACTTCCTGTGTGTTTTCAGTTCAGGAGTAGACTAGGAAAATAAATTCCTCCCTGAGACTTAAGCTTAGCACTAACCAAGAGATAAGAACTTGGTTTAAGTCTCAGATTGACCAATAATTTGCTATAGACCTATCAATTAATAAGTTAAACTGTGTTTACAGATCATCCATTTGTACTAGTAGGCTTTCAATTTAGACAACAGGTATGTAGACTAACAAAATTATCCATGAAGAGGATTGATTAGCATTAAGTCAATCGACTATGAAATGACACTTAAAAACCAGATGACCGAGAGAGAGGCAAGATGGCGGACAAGAAACACCCCCCGACAGAGAGTCTATGCAAGAAGGAAAGATTTTTGATGGAACTGAAAAACACAAACAGGCAGACAAACATAGATCAGATGAGGGTCAGAAGGAAGGGTGCCTGAACCTACAAGACATTTCATGGGAAGAGGTCGTAGAGCAAAACCAGAAGGAGAATGGCATCGGCAGGGTCAAAGCCCCAAGAGACTTGGAGACCAGCAACAAGGGTAGGCAGAGAGGTTAAAAGTCCCCTCCCTTGCATCTCGGACTGTTGGTGGGCTCCCAAACTGCTGGAGAGACCTGCCGATACCAGCCCAGAAACTGCTGCTGCCAGTGAGCAGAGAGCCTCTTGCAGACAAGGCCCCAGGCTCCTAGCTCCTTTGGGATACATTCCACCCCATAGAACTGAGCCGATCGGCAGATGCCATATTGCTTCATTCTCCCCTTCCCCTCCCCTACCCATGGCTGCCCAGAGAAAGAATTTAGCCACCACCCAGAGACATCCATAGGGAATGGGACCTTTCCTTTTGAGGCCCTGCAGTGTGCTGAGGGGTATTCAGACTGTGAGCTCCCTACACTCCAGCCCTCCATGGTGCTGCTTGCCTGGTGACTCCAGCAGACTGGGGCAAACCCCAAGGTGGAGAGACATTGATCCAGCTTGGGCAACTCGTAGGTGACTTGGGCCCAGCATTCTTTTCCCTGGATTGATCTCCGGGGCCCAGGGGACAGGCCTGCAGGCCAGGTCCCATAAACGTAGCTCTCAATACCATTCCCTGGGGACACAAAAGGGATATTTGTGAACTAGTCTACTGAGATGTGTGTGCCTTCAGGAGCAGATCAAAATGGGTCCTAGCTGCAGCGTGCTCGACGGGCACCCCTCCTCCAACAGGAGGGCCAAGATCTCAGGTCAGGCTGTGATCCTGGGCAGGGAACCTTCCGGCTACCATCACAGTCAGGGGAAGCCCACCTGGCTTGAGGTCCTCCCTGCCAGAAGAGGCCTGAGAGAAACCGCAGAATAGGGTAGGGTGGAAAGGAGCAAGGCCTGTTGTAGACTGTGGGTCTTAGACAGCCCCACCTCCACACCCATATTTTCTTGTTGAGTGAGGCCATTTCAGCCCCTCCCTGGCAGCTTTGCCCAGAGGCAAGGAACAGACTTTTGACCTCTGCTAAAAGCATCTGTAGAGCTTGAGAGCAGGCTCACCTACCAAATCCTGCCTAGCCTCACTCCCCCACCTGCCCCTGCTGAGGTAGAGAATAAGGACACAACTGGAAGTCCCAGGGCACCATCCACCACCTGAGGCACTAGAGTGCCTCTCCAGAGGAATGAGAGCTGGTTACAGGACCTAAAAACAACATTACAGCTTGCTCCTCTTGGCAAGTGCCACCTACTGACAGGGAGGTCATTCTGCATACCATTTTACTGCATCTACTGACTCATCATATAGGGTGTGGTCAATTCTCATGCAAAAGCACCACCTACTGGCTCAGAGACTACACAGGCATGTCATTATCTAAACAAAAATCCAAAGGTAAAAAGCAACAGCTGCTCCAGATAGGAAGGAATCAGTGAAAGAACTGTGGAAGTATGAAGAATCAAATGGATAGCACACCCCCAAAGGGGAACATCAGCTCCCTAGCAATAGATACAACCAAAATCAGAACACTGAAATGACAGAAGAATTTCGAACATGGATTGTAAGAAAACTCAGTGAAATGCAAGAGAAAATGGATGCCTAACACAAAGAAACCACAAAAAAAATCCAGGACTTGGAAGAAAAATCACGAAAGAAATTGAAATAATAGAGAAAAATCAAACAGAACTTCTGGAAACAAAGAATTTATTCAAGGAATTATGAAACACAGTATAAAGCCTTAAGAATAGAGTAGATCAAACAGAAGAAAGCATCTCAGGGATTGAAGATAACACCTTTCAATTAAACAAGCCAGTTGCAGAGATAGAGCAGAGAAATAAGAGCAAAGAGGGAAGCCTACAAGCAATGAGGGATTATGTGAAGAGGCCTAACAGAAGAATCATAGGCATCCCTGAGGGTGAAGAAGAAAATACGCAAGGGTTGGATAAACTACTTGAGGATATAATGGAGGAAATTTCCCTGGCCTTGCTAGAAATCTAGACATCCAGGTACAAGAAGCTCAAAGGACTCCTGGAAGATTCATTGCAAACAGGAAGATGCCACGACACATAGTCATCAGACTTGCCAAAATAAACACAAAAGAGGCCCTCCTATGAACTATAAGGTAAAAGAAGCAGATAACCTACAAAGGAAAACCCATCAGACTAACTGCAGACTTCTCAACTGAGACCTTACAAGCAAGAGGAAACTGAGGACCCATTTTCAGTCTTCTCAAACAAAATAATACACAGCCTAGAATTTTGTATCCAGAAAAACTAAGTTTCTTATACAAAAGAGAAATAAAGACCTTCTCAGACAAGCAAAGACTGAGGGAATTCATCAAGACAAGTCCTGCCCTCCAGGAAGTACTCAGAACACTGTTACACACTAATCAGCACAACAGACACTCACCAGTGTAAAATCATCCAAAAGCTAAAGGTCAAAGGCCAGATACCACAATGGCTCAAGAGAGAAAACAAAGCAACAAAGTTCAACTCAAAAGGATGAACAGAAAACTGCCCGCTTAACAATTCTTTCAATATATGTGAATGGCTTGAACTGCCCACTAAAGAGATATAGGCTGGCAGAATGGATAAATATACACAAGTCAAGTATCTGCTGTCTCCAGAAACACATCTAACCCACAAGGATTCATTCAGACTCAAAGTGAAGGGATGGAAAACAATATTCCATGAAAATGGAAACCGAAAGAAAGCTGGCATAGCAGTTCTGATTTCAGATAACTTAGTCTTAAAATCAACAAAAGTAATGACAGACAAAGATAGTCACTATATAATGGTGAGGGGTACAATTCAAAAAGAAGACATAACAATTCTAAATATTTATGCACCTAATTCAGGTACATCCAGATTCATAAAGTAAATCCTAGTTGATCTAAACAAAATGATAAACAGCAACACCATAATAGCCAAGGACCTCGACACCCCTCTGAGAGAACAGGACAGATCCTCCAAATAGAAAATAAACAAAGAAACAATGGACTTAGACAGAACTATAGAGCAAATGGGACTGACAGACCTGTATACAATATTCTACCCAAAAACCACTGAATATACATTTTTCTCATCAGCTCATGAGACATTCTCTAAGATTGACCATATCCTAGGCCACAAAACATGTCTCAACAAACTTAAAAAATAGAAATTATACCATGCATCTTCTCAAACCACAGTAGAATAAAATTAGAAATCAACTCCAACAGAAACTCTCATCTCTACACAAAGTCATGACAACTAAACAACATTTTGCTGGATGATTATCATATTAAGGAAGAAATTAAGATGGAAATCAAAAGATTATTTGAACTAAATGATAAAGGAGACACAAGTTATCAAACTCTGTGGGACACAGCTAAAGCAGTCTTGAGAGGAAAATTTATATCCATAAATGTCTACATCCAAAAGACAGAAAGATCACAAATCAACAATCTAATGAATCATCTCAAAGAACTAAAAAAGGATGAGCAAACCAGCCTCAAACCCAGCAGAAGAAAAGAAATAACAAAGATTAGAGCAGAACTAAATGAAATTGATAACACAAAAACTATACAGAAGATTAATTAAAAAGTTAGTTTTTTGAAAAAATAAACAAAATTGACACACCTCTTACTAGGTTAATGAGAAGCAGAAAAGAAAGGATTCTAATAAGCTCCATCAGGAATGAAAAAGGAGATATTACAATTGATAACACAGAAATACAAAATATCATCTATGAATACTATAAAACCCTCTGTGCACATAAACTTGAAAACGTGGACGAAATGGACAAATTCTTAGAAACACTTAGCCTCCCTAGGCTCAATCAGGAAGAAACAGAATTCCTGAAGAGAACAATATTAAGCAGCGAAATTGATGCAGGAATAAACAACCTTCCTAGAAAGAAAAGTCCCAGACCAGATGGTTTCACATATGAATTTTACCTGACCTACAAGAAGAACTGGTGCGTATCCTGCAGAAATTATTCTACAACATCGAGAAGGAAGGATCCTCCCCAACGGGTTTTATGAAGCCAACATCACCCTGATACCAAAATCAGGAAAGGACAGAACAAAAACAGAAAACTACAGACCAATATCCCTTATGAATACAGATGCAAAAATTCTGAAGAAAATCCTAGCAAACCGAATTCAGGTGCTTATCAAAAAAATAATCCATCACGACCAAGTAGGCTTCATCCCAGAGATGCAGGGATGGTTCAACATATGCAAATCTATAAATGTAATTCACCACATATAGAAGTAAAAACAAAGACCATATGATCCTCTCAATAGATGCAGAAAAAGCATTCAAGAAAA